AGGCCAACGGCATTATTCGATATATTGCAGCCAGCTGAGGCCGAAGGCCGAAGCTGGCTGCAATATATCGAATAATGCCGTTTGGCCGAAGTAGTTATCTATTATAATTACTGACGTTAGTCAAACCTATTGTTTCTTCTCTTTAGATAGTGGCATAAATTATTTCCTCTCAATTGGCTTTTGTTCTGGCTTTATAGCCCTTATTTGCAGTTTGGAGCTTATGTGCATACTTATATGGCTCAGTTCATTAGATTTAATTTCTTTGTGTAGCCTTTTGTTTGATCTTACATGCTAGGTGGCGTCGCAATTTAGGCTTAGTTGTCTATTTTTCAAAGCTTTTTACTTGATGACATATTTGAAAAGAAATTTGCATATTATATATACAGCGACAATCAAACAGTCGAAAATTGGTCAGAAAAGTGACGTCACCACTGTTGCTATGGCAACAATGACGACTCAAGATGGCCGATATTTTGGCTTTGAACGCAGTTTACTTTAAAAAAAGTTCGATTACCCCCATTTTTTATTTCAGAAAACATTTTCTTATAGTGGAATGCACTATCTGGCCAATTTTTAAAAAATTCTGTACTGCAAAAAAAAAATTATTTCGAAAAACCATGTTTATAAATTTTTAAAAAATTTGGCATTACAGAATTTTTTTAAAATTGGTCAGATAGTGTATTATACTATGAGAAAATGTTTTCTGAAATAAAAAATGGGGGTAACCGACCTTTTTTTAAAGTAAAATGCGTTCAAAGCCAAAATATCGGCCATCTTGAATCGTCATTGTTGCCATAGCAGCAGTGGTGACGTCACTTTTCTGAGCAATTTTCGACTGTTTGATTGTCGCTGTATATACAATATACAAATTTCGATTTGTAAAGAGCATCATCTCTTCAAAAAGGTGATCTAGTTTACGCTTTTTCAACATTTCTATAAACTGTAGCGAGCCACCTTAAGAATGTAGGACGGGAACGCGACGGCGTCGGCAAACAAACTCTTTGAACCAAATGATTGCAGAAGAAAACCTGTCCTCTATTATCCATCGTATGAAAATAATACAGTTTAAGGATCAAAATTAACACTGGGTTTATGATTGAGAAAATTCTAGGACCGAAATTTAAAATAGCAGTGCTCCCAGCTTGAAATGTAAGCGTTGTATACAAGACGTGATAATCTGTATTTTGCCGTTGTAAAACAGAGCTACGGCGACGTTTAGAGCGTCGTTGGAGTTTCAATTATTAATTTCTGCTCATTTTCTTGCATTAATATGATATTATTAGCTGTTCTCATTGCACTTTCGTTCTGCTTTGTTGAAGTTCTTAATAACGGTAGTTATTTATAATTATAAAAGAGTAAAATTTAAGGCTGTTTCTTGACACGTCCCCGTACTAGATTAACTTTGCTTAAGTTCGCTACATAATAACGGCGTTGCACAATTTCTTGAAAAAATCAGCCGTCCTTGAATCATATGACCGCACTGCACTGAAACGACTGATTGAAACGCGATAGTCTGGTCACTACGAAAATGCAAAACATGTAAACAATAATCATGGCGATCTGATTCAAGCTCTTTTAGTGGCGGCAAAAAACAAGAAGTTATCTGGGGAAGGCAAAGCGCAGGCAATCGGGCTTCTTAATCAAATGAACGATGACGAAAACCAATAATTTGTTTTCTTTAATTGCATGTTAATGAAGATGTTGAAACCAATCGATAATTATGTGCTCGTTCAATATGCAAAAATGGTGGTGGATTCAATACGGCTAAAGCGAGGTTATGTGACCTTCATGACGTCTCTCTATATGGACTGGCTTAGCCAATTCACTACCTCATGCAAAGAATACTTATTACAGAGGTTCAGATTTGACTTCCACTGCCGCTACCATTGAGGGACAATTACCAATCAGATGTGTTTCAAATATCCGATTTACCAATCAGATGCATACACAGGAAGTGAAAGTTGGTGATAGTGGAATTCGAATCTGAACCTTTTTATTAATGACTTTGTCGCGGCACATAGCTACAAAAATCTGGGTAAACCAACACCTCTTTCACGCTAACCTTTATATTATGCGCAAAATGTAATGATCTAACCTTGCATTGCTTTCTGTCCCAGGCGTACTCTCTCCTTATTTGAGGTATCAAAGCCAAGCTGGCAACAGGATAAGCTTACTCAAAATCCAAACTATAAAGCTTTTTCTGAATTTTAAGGTAATGCTGGTGATTCATTGGGCCAATACGACGGAATGAAGTTCACAACCAAAGACAGAGATAATGACGAAAAGAGTGAATTTAACTGCGCTAGGAACAACAAAGGTGCCTGGTGGTACAGACACTGTGCCTACTCCAATCTCAATGGTGTGTATTTCACAACAGGTTATAGTGGTCACTCAGAAGGAATTTACTGGTACCATTGGAAAAAGGAGTATACAAGCTCCATGAAAAAAGTGGAGATGAAAATACATCAAAATTAGAAACACATTCGTACAACAACACCATTTGCGGAAAAGATTACTAAGTTTAAATTACCTGAATATAAATAGATTAGGGCACTAAACTGGATAATTACTGGCCAGCACACAATTTTACTTATAAGTAAATGGATATTTATGCCTGTAAATAGGGTGGTAAAGAGTATTTTTGTGAAACGTGAAATTTCGTAATTGTGTGTCGTGAAACCAGAGGCGTAGCCAGGATTTTCCGTCAGAGGGGGCCGGCAAAAACCCAGGTGGGGCCAAGCCGCCAGTGACTCGAGACGCAAAGTTCGCGCAAGAAAAAATTTTGCGGACCACACAACATTTTAAATCTCCCTCCTTCCCCCCCTCCGTCGACAACTTTTTCGGTAAAAAAATTTTCTGGACAATTACATTACAATTGCTTTCGTAGCACTTTTCCCGATTTCCGTATCACTTTTTCCGATGCTTCACCACGAAGATTCCGACAACATTAGAGAGTTTAAGCAAGAGAACGAAGTAGGACGACGACGATGTGGACCGTGGTTGACAATTTTTGCCTGTCTTGCACATTATCTTACGCATTCTAAGTTTGGGGTCAGGCGTGAAGACAGATTAGAGATCTACGTCTAGCTGTTTATGAATCCTTACCCTGATCAGGACAAAACAGCGAGACATGAATCCATATCTCGTCTTCATTCTTTTGTCTTCGTTCACAACGAAAAATTCGCAAAAAGTTTGGCAAAATTGGCTGTGAACTTCGTTCCGAACGAAGGCAGAAGAAAAAAGACGGGATATAGTTTCATGTCTCGCTGTTTTTTTCTGGGTCAGGGCAAGAATTAGGGTCAGTATGAATAAAAATCGAGTAAGCGAGACATGGAAAGACACGTTCAGCAACCACCATTGACGTCCAACTCTGTATGCGCAAGATAATGTGCAGACGGCAAAAATTGGCAAGTACGCCTTCGTCTTCGTACTTCGTTCTCTTGCTCAAATTCTCTATTGACAATTCTGCGATGGGTCTCCCCCCCCCCCCTCCGCTCCGGCCACGGCGCCACTGCCGAGCCCGCATTAAAAATTCACTTGTAAAAAAACCAGATTGGTTTAAACTTTATCTAACCCTCATATAATACATATTGAAATAATTAGGGTTAGAAAAGGTATGTGTTTCAAGCTGTGTGCCGTAAATAAGCGAACAAGTGATTTAAGGTTTCACACCGATGCCCAGCAAAGCATATATTCTACAGAATTTTTGCATTATTGACAGCATGAAGCTATATAATCAAGGATTCCCTTTTTTATACAATACATTTTGCCAGGGGCGACCTTATTTTGCCGGGGGGGCGGCCCCAGCCCTGGCTACGCCTCTGCGTGAAAATTTTACTTTCCTCAACCTGAGGCGTGATTACCGTTAAATTTTAAACGGGAAATAAAAATATATTTGAAACCATGAGTATAGAAAAAATATTTGCAGTGTAGTAAGAATTAGTGAGAAAGTGAAGAAGAGCAATGCGGCGGATGTAACATTTTTACTGCATGCGTGTATTATGTTTTCTTGATATTTACTAGATATATCAGTTCGCTTGATTTTTTCAACTTAGCTTTCAGTGCTGAGAAGCTATCAGAAACGTAAAAATATATGCTAACGGGTTAATAAGAAAGGCATTAAATAACACCCGTCAAATAACACTTTTTTAACTTTCGTGAAATGGTTCATTTTTTGCATGCGAAACGCGAAATGCATGGCTGTAGTTTTTTCCTTAAGTGAAAGGTGATCCCAATACCTTGTCCCTACCCTTTACCACCATTTATAAAATATAATAATAGTTAAACCACTAAAATCTGCACACTTCCGCTTTTGTGGTATATGTTGTCATTTACTATATACTTTGATTTTTGTTCTGTATTATTTAGACCAGCTTCTGTATAATAAATATATTTAATAACCTGCTAAAAAAATTTGTGAGTATTTTTCTCGTATATTTGTGTCCTTTTCAAAGGGAATATTTTCCTTGTTCCTGTTTTGGAAGTTTAAATGCTTGTAGTTTTTGTACCGCTATCTTGGTTTTCGCTATTCGCCGTATATGAGCCGATTATACGCTTACGTGCATGCCATTGACCAATCACGAGTTTTCAATAGGGTCACGTACATGTCCGATATTATACGATGTAGGACAGAGGATTTTGACAGCGCTTGTTGTTCCTTTTTCCTGGTTTATCAAACTTTTTCAGATGTTTTGTCAATTTCAAACACGCAACAAACGATATGCATGCTTTTATTCTTGCATACTCTTTTCAAATGGCTGAAGAATTATGTGTGAATCGAAGGGTACAGTATAGTAAAGCCCGTTCTCCACTGGGCCAATTTTCGCGCGAAGCGAAAACAAATTTTGGCAATGTGATTGGTCAGTGAAAAAATTCGCCGCGAAAAAGTTGGATCAGTTCCTACTTTTTGACTGTTCGCGCGAACAAATTCGCCTGGTGGAGAATGGGCTTAACTAAGGAAAAAAGTCCAAGCTTCAAAGATCGCATATTGGAAGTAATGAACGTACATCGAATTGTCTAATGTTTTGATAGTTTATATAAAATGCCTTCTAGATTTGCATTATTATGAATTCGAATAAAATTCCACCTTTTCATGTAAAAAAAAAACAAGTTTTAGTTGGCCGATATGTACCATGCAGAATGGGCAAAAGTATAAAGGCATTCTACTGACATTGGAATTTAGGTGCCCCTTGTGCATACAAACATGCTCTAGAATGGACTATCAAAACCTTCACCTTCACGGTCTGTTAAAACCGTCACCTATACGTCCAACGCCTTGATATCGTCCGGGTTCAAGAGTGGAAGGTGGGGGATTGTTTTGTAAGTAGACCATGTAAAGAACAAAGAACTTGATATGTTATTGCATAGAAAAAATTATCAGTTATCAGTTAAACAATAAAAAGTTATCAGCCCACAACAAGTTCAATCGAGATTTTGCTGCCATCGACTTTATCGAAGCCCTGCTTCTGTGTTTGCAGGAAAGTTCTTGGTTTTCAATTATTCTTTTTGTGTGTTATTAAATTAATCACAAAGGATACACTGCAAGAACAGATTGGTTAAGGTAACCAACCAGTTTGAATTGGCACACCATGCCGCGAAAAAATTTTGTTTCAGAGTTTTACAAACAACAACCAACGTTGTGATTGGACAACTTTATATCTCATATGTCAAAATAATGATACGAGGCAGAACTTTGCATTTTGCAACGGTCATTTTCTCTTCCGTGTTGAGTCAAGACAATGACCAACCGAAAATTAAGTTACAAGGAATAATATTTTGCCTAACGTTTGACAAACTGAATAATTTATTTGACAATACGCACATTTTACTCATACAATAAAACAGAAATGCTATAAATAAAACAGCAAAAGTGCCAAATTTATAATTTCGGTTGCTATATATACTGGCTTGACTCAAGAGAAAATGAGCGTTCCAAAACTTAAAGTTAAATCCCATGTAACCCCAATTTTACACGCAAACAAATTATTATGGCGGCGTACGGTAACGCTTGAATGCGAACTGTAATATCGTCAGTCCTCACTCTAAAGTTGATGTACATGAGTCGGGAAGATATATATTGGAAATGTAATTTTTTTAACCCGTTCCCCAATTGAGAGAGAGGCAATGATATTTGAGGATTTATTATATTGATTTTGAAATCAATTGTATTTCCTGCATTCTGACTGGTTCACAGGAGTGCGATTTCAGCACGAATCGCGCTCATAGCAGTGCGATTCGTGCTGAAATCACACCTTCTTTCACCAATCAAATTAAAGTGCTGACTTCAGCCAACAAAGCATATTTAATCATAGGATTCAAACAGCATTCAATTATAGGAAAAATATGATATGGCAAATGAACAAAAACAAAAAATTTACATATGTCATGATTACTCTTGGCTTTTGGGTGCCTAAACAATTTTTGCACATAAAAACAAAAAAATATGGATAACTGCAGTAAACTATCAAAGAATTACAAAGAATCTTAATTTTTTTTTAATTTCACAAATAGTAACAAGCAAAAATTCCAACAAAAGCAAATTTAAAGCGTCAGAGAAAACAAAGATAAATTTGCCTATCGTATTTCCAATTTTTATAAAATCACAAGGACATTCATGCGAAGTCTTTTGGCTATGTCACTGGCCTGTAAAATAAATATTTAAAACGCGATCAAGGTATTTAAAGCAAAAGTAACACGAAGCCAACGTAACGGCAAATACAACACTTACGACAGGATCAATCTTAAATAACCTTAAACTATTAGAATAAATGTTCACATCAAAGACAAAGATATCAGTCTCAAAGTATAAAATACGCTCTGTAAACTTACGAAGAAGTGGAGAAATGTGCGTATGAGCTGTTTATTTGGCGATTTCAACGTATATGGAAGCCCTCTTTCCAATAATATTCGCTTATCGCAGAGTATAACACCAACTGATGTAACAGTTCAAATGCAATGGTAAATTATCTCTTGAATTACATCTTAGTCAACATCTACATCTCGTTGGAAATTGAAATGGTGATCCATTACATATAGATTACCGTTTCACATCGTTGTATAAAACACTTTGATCGCATGTGAGCAATTATTTCTCAGCCCAGAGACATAGCTCAAAGACTTAACATTAACGTCCTTGTGATATCCAGAACTAAGGATATTCGAAAGAATTATCTGTACTTGGAACTTTCTCAAAGTTGCAATTGTAGACCGGATATGTTGTTTACGTCCAACACGCATAAGATTGCATAACTCAAAATGATTCGAGCAAAACTTGTCTTTTGTTAAAAGGAAGAATGGTTAATAGAAATTGGTCTTTTGAGTGATATAATCGTGTATCGTCATCAATTCGTGTCGTTGAACAATGAAAAATATTGCTGTGAAATTAGTGAAGATAAAATAGCAGTTTGTGCAAAAACTGCGTCGGGTCTACGGAGTGGGAACTTTTTGGATTTGAACTCAGCGTGTTCGAAAGTGTTAATTCCTGTAAAAATATTACAGATCTAAGACATGCTTAATAAAAATCGTTTTCTAGGCACTTTTCGAGGTCACAACACATGGACTACTATATACAACTTGGAAATCAGTTGTTCCTTTGGCTTTGCTTGTCATTGTGGTTGAAAATCTCCAGAAATATCGGTATATCTTAGAAAACATCGACGGTGTCTTCAGAGATTTCAGCTGATTCGTGCCAAACTAGCTTCGCTATACGTAAATAATATCGATCGATTGAGAAGTGTTTTGGCTGTTTATTTGTTTCGAAAACTTGTATATTTCAGTTAGAATATTTCGCTTCTCCTTAACTAGTAGCTGTCAAATATGCCCATATCACGTGATCGGCCCAGATCAGGGCTTTCTCTTCTCTCCGCTTGTCCTCACACGATATCCATGGGAACGAAGTTGTAAATCTCCTTTTAAAGTGCAGGAAATGGCGTTTCAGAGACTCTAGTTTTAAAATTTTCCCGAGGGCATGCCTGCGGACTCTACTAGAATTAAATCCGCCTTCGGCGGGCGCTAAGTGTGCCCCTCCCCTCACTAGGGAGATGACGAATGTAAGACGGCGACGTCAGGACGACGGCTATCAATACAATGACGTTAATCCAACAGCACAAAAGAAATGAATAATTAAAAGTATAGTGGGGGGTTTTAGACGCGTTGTCCAAGCTCTGTCGACAACGGCAAAATACATATTTTCACATGTTGTGTAGTACGCTAGCATTCCAAGCCAGAGTTTATCAACATTGCTCTGAAGGTTAAAGCTCTGTTTTACTCGTTCGAAACTATTTTAAATTCATACGAAAGTAAATACAAGATTTCCATAGAATTATTTATTTCAATAGACGTCGTCCTGACATCGCCGTCTTACATTCGTAAACTCTCTACTGTTAGAGCTGCTCCGACTCCCGATCTCAATGGTCCACAGTAATCCAAGCAGCGCAAAAGCTACGTGTAGTATATTAATTAGAACTTAGATTTGCATGCATTGTTCATTTTTTTATTAAATAATTATGTCAAACTGTATGTATAAATAGGATGTATGTTTATGATAAATTAGTTTTGGAACCTAATTTGTGACTGCATGGTATGTACTTACAGAACAACATGTAGGCCTAAACATAGCCAGCGCACGAGAAAAGCGGACTTGAATCCCGCTTTAAAATGTAGTCTCACTATCATTAGGGTCAGTCTGTATGTCTATGATTATTAAAGATTATTACTACATTTCTTCTCATCTTTTGAACAATGCCAAAGATAGACTGGATGAACCATGACCAGGATTTGAACTACCAACAAACCAACATTGATCTATTTATAAACAATAAAAAAAGCTGTATGTTAAGTTAATGATTGATAACCAGTGGTTATGACTGTTTCGCGCATGCCTGTTTTTTTTCCTGAAAACCTAAAAAATGAATTTTCAATCAATCTCAAAATAATAAAAAAACTTGTTCCAAAGTTTAACATACGCGCTTGCACGAAGTTTGCTATAAGACCCCGTTTACAAGGTATCGGGCAAATTTCGAACAGACGGCTGAAATTCGTCCGTTTCGAACTTCCGTTTACACGAGAACCACGGAACCGGACGAATTTGAGACCCTCTAACAGGACAAATTGACGTGTAAACAGGCGAACAAGGACAAATTTCAGCCCGATCCCAAATTCGTCCAGTACCGTGTAAATGGGTGTTAATGTACAGCAAACGACGTTTTTACAATGTTAATTAAACAACAGACGTAATGGTGCGATGTCAACTGAATAAAATACCGGTTCAGACGATTTTACTTGCCAATGCGCCATGCCTTCTGACAGGAAAGAGATGGCATTTCATTATTGGATACGAGCCGGTTGTGATAACGAAATAACTGTTTTACACTGTATACAGTACTTGAGTATATTGAACTTTCGATGCACCGTCTATTTGCTGCAAGCATCATTCTACTATATTAAAATGTTAACTTTCAATAGCAATAATACAAACATAAACTTCTGCATGTAATATATCTATTTGGTCTCTTCACAGAAGCATGTCTCTCAGTACTCACAGAGAATTGGAGGGTGCGTCATTTTTTACTTAGTGCCAGGCTTCTAGCCACTACTAGTATACTAGTCTGTAACGTTATCCGCCCAAAAGTCATACCCATATTGGGTCGCCATTATAAGGCCCATCCATCAAAGCAAACATTGGAATTTGAAAAAGTGAAACCACAGCAGAAACGAGAAGACTCAACCCAAATAGTGCACCAGCATGGTATAGTGGGAACCTGAATGGAAAATATAATTAGTATTTTTATGTAACAATTACGTTTTAGCAGTCAGGACCATCCTGCTCATTATAGTATTGGGTTTGCATCATTTGTTTGCGAAAATAGACAATTTAAATACAATTAGTACAATTAATTCAATCACGCCGCCATTTTTGGGTGGCTTTTCAGCCGAAGTCTGAGAGATAAGTCCAGAAAACAGCGTCGTTTTATAATTTTTTATTGTAAATTTGCTTTGTAAATGGTTAATTTATTTTGAAAAATTGCGTTTCACATGGTTTTAATTGTGTGCATCGTTAGAAAGACTATTTGCCAGAGCCCTCAATAATATCCTTGATAGCTGGAATATCTCAAGGATATTATTGATTTTTGGATTTTAATAACAAAAGCTAATCCTCGATTAGAAGTTAGAAACGTAAAGTTATGACAATAAGGTGTTTAAAATGAACAAAAACGGAATCCTTTATTACGCCGAGTCCATAATGTCGTTGACAATTAATCACGATATTTTCCTTTAATATCACAAAAAATATCACGTGACATGTTTCCACCTAAATGTTTAAGTGTCGAGCTCTGACTACTGTGGTGAAGCACTTTTAATTTCCCAGTATAATATGGATTTCCTGAGGTTTTATGGCCATCAAAGTGTTTTAATTTTAAAAACTGTAATTCTAGGCTAGACGCAGGCATTAATCTACTTGATTAGGTGATTATTAAAAATTTTCCACCCTGATTGGTTGCCGTTAATAAGGTGAATAATTATATAACGCGCGGATAATCAGCTAAGCTCGATTTTCATAATGGCGATCGCAGCCGTTTTTTCAATGAAATGACAAAGAAATGTGTATTTTTCTATTTTTTCCCAAATAATAATAAATATGAAATAATACTAAAATACGAAATTTTACCAAAAAAATTATTCACCTCAGACTCAGTGATTATCGTGAATAAAAACCTCGACTTCGTCTCGATTTTTATTCACAGATAATCACCTCGTCTTTGGCAAATAATTGTTAAATAACATACCTAACATATATATATTTGTGGAGTTGATAATTTTGTAATTAAATGTGATATTTTAGGCGGGTGGGGGCTTTGAATTTTAAAATTGTTCTTAATAAAAAAGTATCGTGTTAATAATAATAGTTATAATAATATTCTGTTTAATTAATAAACCGAATTGTAGTAACAACTGGATTTCACGGTATACGTAAAATTATGTGCATAGATCTATTTACAAGAAATAGAATATAAATAAGGTATAGATCAATTGCGAAACTTAGTGGCCGCGCCTTTATACTGCAGGAGAACGAGGCTTATTATGCAAAAACAAAACAATTTCTATATTTTTATATAGCGAAAAGTGAATTTTAAGGTTTTTGAAGTGTTTTTTCTTTAATCTCTTTGATCATTTCTTAATATTTCGTGCTAGGTTATATAAATATTTGTTAAATTTAATTATCTATATTGGAAGCCTCACATATCGATTTTTTTCCACGAGAAACGTCATGTGTTCGTCATTGGGCGGGGGTGGAAGCTGTGACGTTTCTCTGTAAACATCATGGAAAAATTCGATAGTTTTTATCTTTGCAGAATATAAAAAAGAAAACAATTTGATACAAAGAGCAGTCTATACCTGTTCTATATACCTATATATTTATATTATTACGCCTTCCTTGCTTTGAAAACACTCAAATTTCAAGAAAAACGCGCTAAAATTACAATATTTCATGCAAAAAAAATTGTTTTGAGAAACGTTGGAAATTTCGAAGTTTATATATATATATATATTAATAAAAAAAGAGTATGTCAGCAGATGACATATTCCTCGCGGAAGCATCGCCAATAGCCGACCGAAAAAAAATAGTAGAAAATTACCTTATGTGTACTCATAGTGTACTGTAAGAACAAAATATCGATAACTATGTGTGACGTTTCTAAGGGGGGTGGGGGGGGGTCTCCAGAGAAACGAACATATGACGTTTCTCATGGACAAAATCGATATGTGAGGCTTCCCTAAACATCAATTTCCCACTATATTTTTATCCGCTTTGGAGAGATATTTCGTTGTTGTTTTAGCATGCGATTGAAAAAATCTAGACTTTAAAATCTGATCAAGATGCAAATAAAATAGCCAGTATAACTTAGCAAACTAAAATATAACTCTTTCTACTCAGATTTTTTTAGAATTCGCGCGGGCGAGAAACAACCGATTTTGTCAAAGATAATAACATAAAATTTCTACAAATTTTGCCCGACATTTACTTTCATATTTTTAAAGTTAAAATCGAAAACTTGCTATTATATAACAACTGAAACAAAATTAATCAATGTTACAACTTATTTTTTGAAATGTATTAATAAAACAGACGGAAAATACCTGATTCTTTCTCTGGTATAATCTGCTTCTTTTATCGGACGGCGAAAAACAGCAAAACAATGCCTTGCACGCCGCGAAAATCAATGCAATTTGAAGTAAGACTAAATCTATGAACAAGTTTAATAAAGATTTACATAGTCAAAACAGAAATATTGAAAAAAAATGAAGAGATTACCATAAAAACGCGTCTTAAACACTGAAATTCATTTTTCGCTATATAAAAATATAGCAGAATGATTTCTTTAATTGTTTTTGCATAATAAGCCTCGTTTTCGTGCAGTTTAAGGCGCGGTCACTAAGTTTCGCAATTGGTCTATACCATTGAACTAAATATAACTGGAAGGCTAACTCCTATGATAGAGTCCTATGATTGGTTGAAGCCAGCTCGCCCCAAAAAATTTTCACACACACCCCCCTGGAAACTGGAGGACGCGTGCTTGAGGAGCGGCGATCGAAAATGGGAAATGTTCGATGTAAAATTGCACAATTTGTTGCCTTTTTCTTTCGTTTTTGAGATGCTTTATGTATTTCTAATGATCTAGGAAAAGTCTTCTGTGTATAAGAAGTGGGACGGAATCAAAAAAGTTTGAAAATGACAACGATCAATGCTATTTTAAACGGAACATATTTCAGACAAACTGACAACCGGCAAGATATGGTCAGTTAAATATTAACATCGCCATATAAAACAGCACAACACACAAAGATAAGTACAAATATACCAGTATTTTATTAATATTTCACTGGTTATTAAACAAAATTAATTTAGTTAACTGAAATCTGTCATTTTGTTTTCCATTTTGAACAACAGATTCACAATAACGCTTGCCGTACGTGAAGAGTCGTAGCGCAAAGTACTTGTCGGCAGTGCACTTGATCAATTTTAGCTTGTGGTTTTCGTCCAAACCAACTTCGTTCATCCCGGGATCATGATCGCCAAAGATATTTACATGACAGGACTCATTGACAACAAAATGATGGCAGACTTCCATGATCATTTTACTGCGTAGTTTTTCACTTGAGTTGATGTGTTTCCCATCCTTGACAACAAACGCTTTAAAATATGTTCAGCATACTTGACAACGGCGTAGACTGATTGCGAGGAAATGGTTAAACCGCCTCTGTTGACGAATAGCGTGGAAGCTGAGGCTGCTGGAGTGTCAGAATGTTGTGTGGTTTTTGCACCGCAGTAATCATGGTCGACTGATGAGGATGAAAGACTTGAAATGAGACAACTTCTGCAAGCTGTACAGGCAAGTAATTTTATCAACTTTTTGACTATGAATCCACTGATGTAGAACAGAATGTTTCCCATAATTTCTGAATGTCCTCTTTCAGCTAACTGTTCAACTAGCAGCTGCTCTGTTAGTGTAAACCGGGAATAATTCATGGCCAGAAATTTAGGACATGCGCCCGCAATGTATCTCAGCGGTTTTTCCTCTGAAAAGTTATTCATACCTAACAAACGCAAGTTTTAACTAAATAAATACATTTTGCTTAGTTTTTTGTTTAACTAAAGCAGGAAAATAGATATAATAGGTACTGTCGGCCTTTTACATACCTTTCATTTATTATGATGGGATATAAAGTGATGCGCATGGTAAACGACTCAAATATTTTGTGTATACATCGCTATCCCTCTGTGTAACCCACACTGGAAGAAAGCCTGGTTCCTAAGCTTCTTGTTGATATCAAACATGGACGACAATTCATTAAACATCGTTCTTCTTGCAATGTTTTACGGTCTATGGACAGGTATTTATGGGTAAAATATCAACATTTTGTCCCGTAAATTGGAACAAGTTAAAAAATTTGTATCACTATGAAATTATGCAGACAAGCAGGGGACAACATATATTATACGACGGGAAGTCTGCAAATTTCATGAAGGGTTCGAGGGATACATGCGGCCAGAGCAAAATGTACGTTTTCAACGATTTTCTCAAGTTTTATTATACTTTATTATACGCCGATGTACTATGAAGTGAACTTGAATAATGGAACAACTTATAGGTAAGATTTCGATGCGAAACTTTTCTGTTTTATGGTCCAGATATAATTTATAATATTGCGAAGTCTGCAAATGACATAGCTATTACCAAACACGTTTAAATTGAAAAAAACCGCGCCACTCCTAATGATTTATATATAACAAATCCGCCATTTTGTTTGTGAAAGTTCGCACATGCTCAGAATCCATGTCCGCAATTTCTGGCCATGTTCTGGCTTTTCTTCTTCGATAAGGGGTATCTGTGTTTTCTCTTGTGTAAAATTGGAATTATTCCCGAAGAAAAACCTCGAGGCTTTCACTGCATTCGTGAAAAACATTTTTCTAAGAGCGTATTTTAACTGCATACTGTTTGGATTATTGTTCCAACCACCCTTAGAGCGTATACACGAGAACAACAATTCAATGTAATCTTGCGAGAACTTGTACGTTAACAGATATGCAAAAGGATTTTCTTTCAGTTAAAACATTTCATTTGCCATGTTGATGGTAGATTTTATGGTAGCTACAAAACCAACAATAAATGTTTTTCTTCTGTGAGTAGAAAGAAGCTCTTGTTCTTTATTCTTTCCTTGTTTCCCAACCAGTGACAGTAGATATTCTGCTGTTGATTTTAGATAATCTTGCCCTGTATCTATTGATTTGGTTCTCAGAGGCTGCTTGCATCCCTTAGCCCGAGGACATCTAGAATTAAGAATGTCAAATGCTCTGTCAATATTTCTTATAAAGTTTACAGTAGGCCCACTGTTCTTAAATTGCGGTCGCTGCACCGAAACGTCCAGAAATTCGATTGCATTTGCCACTGATGAGCTTAGGGTCTGTGCAGCTAATCTTACATTCATTTTATGCTTTTGAAATTGTAGGTGCTGTGCTGAGAATTTGTTTCCTAAATTCAATCTTTCATCTTCTTGAAGGTTATGGAGAAGATGAAAGAACTTCCATTGAATTTCACCACCGTCACTGTCATAAAATGAACCTAAGCTGGCCAGTGCATTTCGTGCGAGTTTTAGCATATTGCATGTATCCAATATTACATAGACATTGTAATTCCGTGATGGATGCTTAAACATGGTTACCATGGAGTAGTATGTTGTACCAAATATGCAACCCAATTGAGTAAACGTGCTGACATTGACAGATGTACCATCGGCATTTATTGACCAAACCCTTAATCCTGCGTCAGCTGCCTTTTCCAAGGCCATCCTAACCAGCTGTGCTTGGGTTTTAGCATTCATTTTATCAGCCAGAAAATAACCAATCGGACACTTCCACCGGGTTCGTATTCCAACCAATATGAAAACTAATGCTTCAGATGCAACGGTTTCAGGATCTTCAGGTAGTACCGGGCCATAATTAACAAAACCCGAGTACTGTTCTTTCTTTGGGTCCCACAATGTTTGCTTCCTTATTGACATGGCATCAATAATGAGACCACAGTCTTTCTTCGATGGTGTTTTATCTGCCTCATTTTGCAACGATTGGAATGCCTCCTGCAGGAAACCTGGCTCGCAGTCAACTGAGCTTGACCATTTTCTGATCAAAGATGGATTTGGCAGTGGTATGATTGACCTCACATATTCATATGCCTTAGGTGAATAAAGTATAATGTTATAGAGAATTCTTTGATGTCGTCTGCGTATCGTCTGCCACATGGGGAGATAGTGGTGTTGTTTTTGGCATTGTGGAAAATGGATAGTTGTAATTTATCAAATGAAGCATGCAATCTGTCAGCAATTTCGGTTTTGGCAATCAAGTTCTGCTCTAAGTTGTTGATGACATCTGACATGTTGGCGATTTTTGATTTGCATCGACGCAGTTGTTGCTGTAAGTTTCTTACTTTTGATTTCAATTGCTTATTAGATATTTCTGTATCGTTGCTTCCCATTCTGAAGACTTTTTCATAATTTTTGTTTATATGCACTTTTGCTGGCTGTGGGGTATCCTGTTGACTGATCGTTTCCATGATGTGTGTACCAGCATGTTGTCGCATTCTGTTGTGACATGAAAATAGGTCAATCTTGAACAATGAGGGTATGGCACTTATTTTAAGCCTGCATGAAACTGTATCAGCTGTTGGGAGTTGAATGTAGTCATCCTTTTCAAAGTGCTTGCCGCAAATAAAACTATGCTGTGTTGCCCTCCATCCATTTCCATCATTTTTTACTCTCTTGACCACTTCCTCCCATTTTTCCAACAGCTCCTTATTCTTCAAGGGGAATCTTAAAGTTTATATTATTATTTTGTAAATGTAAATTGTCAGACTATGTATATACTGTGTGTAGATATGTTGGTAAATAAAACGTTATGCAATTATTTCCTGATTTTTTATTGGTTTCTTATGTAAACATTATGCATGCACATATAGACTCACCTGTGGTAGGCTATATGCTCTATGTGTTCCTCGTTTTCCTTATTTTTATTACTCCTGCATCCACAAACAACACAGCTATAAGGCATATCCTTTTTTAGAAGCAAAACACACTTCGGTTTTACATTCCCTTTAAAATTAGCTTTTTAATAAACCTGCTATGAAAACTTTAACCCTGACGTGAGCGACCGACTAACAGTAGCAATCATAGCAATACATAGACAATATTTTTGTCAATTTTCAAATGCTTTTTTTTCGACCTTAAAACGTTCAATCTTCTTGAAACTTCGCATACAGATGTATTTTGCATGGGTTTAAATAATTCCTTAGGTATGACGTCTTAGTTTTATCTTAAACTTCCAAAAACTCAGAAAAAGCAGCGTAAAACGCGCGGTTTTTCTGACCGTTCATGCTTATGGCCGTGTTTTCTCGTATTTTTTTGCTAATACGTGATTTGTTTGCTTTGCGAATATTAAATTCATTTATAATACTACTGATATAAATTAAATTTGGTAGTACAACTAATATTTTGGGGCAAGATTTTTGTAATCGAAAAATGTGCATATTTTGAAAAAAAATGTAAAAAGGACTGGGTCTACCTACAGAAAAAGCTTCAAGCACGGCTTCAACCCCTCCCCCCTGATTTAGCATTCCAGTTATTTATAGTTCAGTAGTCTATACATACTAAGATTATAAATAACATATTTAACTTTAACAAGTAACAAATTACATTTAAATAATTCATGTTCGCAAAATATAATGGTTTTGTCAGCAAAGCGAGGGTTTATGTATGCATGTATTTTCTAGTTTAACTTTTATCAGTGGATCTAGATCTATTGCTGATAACCTCAAAATAACCCTGGTCACCCACACTGATAAAGAAACGAAAATAACGAATTTCAAAATTATCGACCCACTTCTGTCCTCAAGGTTTTTCAAAATTATTGGGGTAGTGCCTGCAGAAAATATTTTAAAATGAAATGAAACTTTCAGAAAATGATGCCAGTGCTAGGACAAGCCGAACTGCAACTTCTGGTACCATAGTAACTGCAACTTCTGGTAGCACGTACGTGGTGACGTCATTATGAAGTCGTCATCAAATTATTTAATAATAAATTTCTAGAATATATTGCAGAGCTATTGTTTTGCAATTTTTAATCTATTTCAATATTAGAGCAGAAATACAGTATAGAGTTAAAAAAAGTATGAAAAAAAAAGAAATTGGAGAAAAAGTTTGTTATTATCATTACATATACGTACAGATATGAGATTTGGCGGATTTTTATTGAAAATATTAATTATAAACTTTATTCGGAGAATTATTGCATCCATGGATGATACCAGCTATGGATTACATTTTGATCTACAGTAGACAAGAAGAAAACAATCCATATCACCAAAGCTGGAAAAAGCATGTTAAAATTACTAAAATTGCAAAGTTTGGTTGCAAAATTTTGTAAAATGAGGAAAATATAGCCCTGCGAAATTTGTAAATTTTGTATTAATTAATTTGTATCATTTATTTTTATTACGCACGGGAATTTGCACCACTTTCGGCCCAAATGTGATGCATTCTCCCGCGCGTGATACAAATTAATACAAAATTTGAAAATTTCGCAGGGCTATGCTTTCCGCATTTTACAACATCTCGCGGCCAAACTTCGCAATTTTACTACTTTTAACAAGCTCATTCTATCTGTGGTGATGGATTTTGTTCTTCTTGCTTAGATCAAAATTTAGTTTTTAGCTGGAATTGCCAATTGGTCATTTAAAGTTTTCTGTGCATGGTCTTCACTTTGAAAGCTAAACGCCCAGATTTGTAAATAGATTAAGTCATTTCGTGACGTCGTGATTCCGTCATCTTGAATGCCTCCATCTTTGATTGATGACGTCATAAATGGTAATAATAACTCAAATAAGTTCTTTTTAATTACTCAAATGTTAGGCAGCTTACAAATATATCACGTGGGCACAAAAAAGTTGATAAAATACTAAAAACCGGTTGCCAAGAAGTAAATAATTATATCTAAATTAAGTGGGGCAAAAATTATAACCATTCAAATTTGGCGCGGGCTCTCCCTTCCCCAGTCCGGATAGGGTCAAAAAATCATCAGTATGGTTTTAGAGAAAATAGGTTCATTGAATTTGCAATTATTGAACTTATTGACAGAATTACTCAAGCAATCGATAATGAAAATATACAATTTGTATTTTCCTTCAATTACAATATTTCGATTATCACATTATATATATATATATATATATAGTGATATTTTTAACTGAAGCAGTAAATGGCAATGCCGAACATACCAAGTCCCCTCTGTTCTGAGAAAATAGATTCGTTGAATTTCCAATCATTAAACTTGTTGACAGAATTACTCAAGCAATCAATAATGAAAAATGCAGCAATCCCCCGCGTATATTTTCCAAACAATCCAAACATTGATTCAATATGGAGTATTAGTAATTAATCAATACTGACCGCAGGCTCACGTTTACGTCAGTGTTGCCAATTGCCATGGCAACACGATAATTTTAATTTATATAATATTTTTGTACAACATGGAAAAAACAGTTGAAAGATTATTGCTTTTAACTAATATATAACAATGAATTTCCGAAATATGCACTGTAGGTAGGCTACTATGTTGTTCTGGATTTGTGAGCTTTGACTTAATGTAAATTATAATATAGCATTTGTAAATTCTGAACACTGATTGGCTAAGAGCCGTGTTGATATAACTCAATGTCAATACGGAAAAGTCGGAAAATTTCTTTCTTTATATTTCTTTGTGATATATTATAAAAAAATATAAAACATTTTTCCGTATTGATCTATAGTTATATCAACACTCGTGGAAACTGGGAAAACTCGACATTGTGTGAAAACACTCCGCCCTCCGGCGTCGTGTTTCCACAAAATTTCTCGTTTTCTCAGTTTCCACTCGTGTTGATATAACTGTATATCAACACGGAAAATGTTTTACGTTTGTTAAGTATAACCCGAATCGGTTCGCAAAATGTTTTAAAACGTTTATTTTAATAACTAAACTGCTTTTGTCGATAAACTGCATGTTTTTTTTTACTTCAAATTGTTGAGTAATTTTAGTTAGGTCTTCAACTTAATTTGCTGTCCGTTAAATTTTACCTGTTTTCTTAAATTAAACAGGGTACGTAATTTAGGAAACTTACAGCTTCATTGAAAAGGAAACCAGTGCCGATGTTTTTTGTACGCAATAAATTAAACAACAAAATTCATAAACTAAAACATTTAACATTCAAAGAAAACTTGCCCTATATTTCACGATTTTCCATAGTAAATCAATTCTTCTCATTTCTTCAAACAAAAATTGCTTCAAAGCTCATTGTGCGAAACGTAATTTTCCGAATATATATGCTTTTGAAAATTGAAATCTTGCTTATCCCACTCCTAGCAAACAGCCATATTTTTGAGATCAGTGAGGGGGTCCACCCATGGACCATAGTCACGCGTCCGCGTCATTGACTAACTTTAGATTTCGCCAATTCTCTCTAATGCTTTTCCTTCTCCGAATGTCAATAGCCGGGCGGAATTATATTGGTACTCTCACCCCGGGATTATATATCAGGGATTATATATCGCGGTATTTTCAAAAAGCAGTAAATGGCAATGCCGAACATGTCAAATCCCCTCTGTTCTGAGAAAATAGATTCATTGAATTAGAGAAAATAGATTCATTGAATTTGCAATCATTGAACTTGTTGACAGATTGAATTACTCAAGCAGTCGATAATGCAAAATATAAAATTGGTATATACTGAAATACTTCGATATTATATAATTATAACGATATTTTCAAAAAGAAGTAAATGACAATGCCGAACATGTTAAGTCCCTATGTTCTGGGAAAATAGATTCATTGAATTGGAGAAAATAGGTTCATTGAATTTGCAATCATTGAACTTGCTGACAGAATTACTCAAGCAATCGATAATGGAAAATATAAAATTGATATTTTCCTTCAATTGCAATATTTCAATATTATATATAGCAACATTTTCAAGAGCATGAGTACATGGGCCTTATTAGCAATTCCGAACATGTCAGGTCCCCTCTGTTCTGGTGATTATGTACTTTGACGGATCTGAAGAACCCCAAAACGACAGTAAATGGAGAAAATAAAATTTACTTACTCTTTCATAATAAAAGATCCGTGAGTAGAAAACAGAAATGAACTCAAGATGGTATAAAGAAAAAAATTGAAAATCTAAAAATAAACGGGACAATTCAGTGATTGTAAAGAACGAGTTCTCAAACCATATAGAAGAATGAAAAAACTCGTCCTTTTTCGGACTGGCAGTTAAAACGTAATGAACAAAATTTTCAGTGAAACTATATTTAAAAGTGAGCCGTTTAGTAGGCATTGCTATTACTAATTAATTGGATTTATCAAGAGAAGCATGAGTGACTTTAATAGTTGCCCATCACCAGTGGCGCACATTAAAAAAAATGCTGGGGAGGGGGTTCGGATCACGTGATTAACTGTAACAGAATAGCAAAATAGGAGCGCTGAAAACTAGGGCTGTCCGGAGGCATGATCCCCAGTGTAAAATTTTCTAAACCGAGGCTCGGAAATGCCATTTCCTGCACTTTCCGGCACGGATGTCAAGTGTTCCGAATGTTGTCAAAAACTCAAAATGGAAGCGACTTCAATGTTTTGCCTTTTTTATGAAAATGCAAGCGGAATAATGAATGTGACAACCTAAAAACTAGAAATAATTATAGTCTACATGTGCAAGAAGTAGTATTATGCAAGAAAATAAACCAAAGGTGACTGTTGATAAATTTATTGCATAAAACGTTCTTTAACTGAACCATACATAGATATTTTTCGTAGGTTCATATAATCCACATTTTTGTCAATAACTAATTTTTCGCGTAGCATGTATAATTTTTGCGTTGACTATATTTAAGGGTAATGATTTCCTCTACAATTTAATCGTGTGCAAATACTTAACTATGCTATAGTTTTCTTAACTTTTCTGCTTTAAGTTCGGTATTCGACAATTTTTCAAGAAATGTTCACACGACTGGTCTTGAACGGTAATTTTTAATTTAAATTCTGTTTCTTTTTAGATTTTAAATGTTAAAATCTATTTATTCATGTATAAACCACCCGTCTAATGTATTTTTTGTTTGTTTAAATTACCTTAAATCATTCCGAATAGCCATATATGTTTTTGTTTACAATTTGGTATTTAAATTCCTCGCCATTTTTTTGTGCCCCACGCATGCGTAGATGTTTTTCCGCGGTGTTCCCGCCCCCTTAATGTGCGCCCCCGCCCATCACGTAATTTAATTCGTAAGTAATGCCAACGTTTGTTTCACAGGATAAATGTTTGGATTTTCCAAATATGTGTTGCAAGTTAGCCTGCGACTCTATTATGGCATATAGAATTCGAATAGAGTCTGCGGCGTCGCATATTAGTTGGAAGTAAGCTGCTATACTGAACTTTAGTATCGTCGGAAGCAAATTTTTATTGGGGGGGACTCAAATTTGCCCTACATTTTTCAAAAAAAAATTAAATTTCATGTCGATGGGGCAATTTATTTTTCGAAAATTTACACCATTACAGACACTTATCGTAACTTCAAAACATAACGGTCTCTATGAAATACAATCTTAGATGAGGCAGTCGTCGATATGGCAGTTGATATTTTCCACACGCGCATAGCTACTGGGGTTGCTCTACGGGGTGGTAACTCCATATAGTTGTTAGCTTTGGCTGTTGCTAATATTCTTATAATTGATAGAATAATATAATTGAACTTTACCTGTAATTCGAGAACTGGAATTAGAAGACCGACAGTCACAAGGATTGAGATTAATCCCGTGAGAACAAAAGATATAATGATTGAAAAGTTGCGATGTCTACCAGCAGGAGACCAATCAAGGAGAAAGCCAGGAACAAAGGCCAGAACTATGCCAGTAAATTGAATCAATCCAAGTATGGTAAGATAAAAATCCACTGAAAATGAAATATGGATCCGTATCTGACTTATACTGTATAATATGGGTATTGCATAATGTACCAAAGCATTTGTTGAAAAGGGTGTCACTACTCTCTTGGATTGATAAAAATTGATGGCTAAAAACCCAGCTTGCATACATCCATCCATTCCATGCCTGGATTTTGCTCACGGCAATGACTAGAAATAATCCAGCGATACAATTGTTATAAAAATCACGAACATTTATTGCCGAAACTGTTATTGGAATACTATTTAATTTATATTAACAATACAGTCACCATATGATTGAGTTATTCTCGGTATACCGACTCGATGTGGATGAGTCATATGCGCACTCCTATAGTCAAATTCAATCGCATGAGAAAAAGTGGAGACACATTCTTGATCAGGTTCGCATTCTATATCTATTAATTCGTTATATTTTCTAAAGAACGAGTCACAAGTTAACACTGATCACACAGAAGCCAAATACATAACATGTTCACTTTAGCTACGTCCTTGTCGACGTACTGCATGCGTGAGGCAAATTAGCTACCTACAATCAGACAACGGCATATACTGCATGCATGGTATGGAACCTGCATGCATGCTCGCGGTGGTACAAGACAAATGTACTGACGACATAACACAAACAGACATTCAGCAAAATAGTGTTTTTTACACACCTTTTTCTTCGTCATTTGTGAGACGTTTCAACGACTTGTTGATTATTCCAATGAAAAAAAAAGACCGTAAAGTTGTAATCGAAACAAAACATGTGTGGATCATAAACTTTGGACCTTTGATTATGGAGAGAAGGCTTATCTTCCCTATATGAAAATAAGGTTGAAAGACTGTGTAACTATAGATGTATAGCGTAAATTAACATAACTGGTATTTAAACAGTGAAAGTCCGAGCGATATATTTATATTGCTTTCTGAGGTGAACTGTAGTACTTTTGCCTCAGCAAAACGTCGGCTGATAGGGATACAACTACCTGATGAATACAGAACTTCGACTCGTTTCGTGCGAAGGCACTTCTAAATTCTCCTTGTATTTTCAGGTATAGTTGTATCCCCATCGGCTGAAGTTTTGTTATTAATGGCACTATCTACACTGGCATACATTTGTATTTGAATATTGTCTGAGTCATTTTCCTTATACCTTCGCCAGATATAGTAAATACATTTTCGTTTTCCAATTGTCCAACTGTATGAATATCTAAGTCATTGCTATCAGCTTTACTTGAGATAGAATGTTCTTCATTACTTCCGCCATTGCCAATATCTGTATTAGTGCTATCTGTTAGATCTTTGGGAAATATCGAAAACGTAAACAACAATCCATGTCCAAATATAAAGGAATAGTAAACGATGATGATAGTTTTGAATGAAATCCCAGAATTATAACATAACTGGAAGAAGTAATGAAAGAAAATGAACAACTATAGCTTTTACAATTATTTATGTATATATATACAGGGTGTATCAGGAAAAAACTACGCAGTTAGAGAAAGTTCACTAAAGTCAGATGCGCGCGACATTTGCAAAATCTTTCAGTGAGCCTATGTACTTTAGCGTTCTCTGGTACATCTCTCTAAATTACTAAAATTATTTCAAATGCTAGCGTTTTTAGAGTAGGAAAGCTGTTAATAATCCCCCCCCCCCCCCTTGCGCAAAAAAACTTTTCATCGGAATCAAAATTTTATCCCACAGAGTCAAAATATATGGACTGTCTTGTACAAGCTATACTATCAAAGTTTCAAGAAATTAGGTGCAGGCGTATAGGCCAACGCGAGATCTTCAAACCTCGATTTTCTCGCATTTTGTTATAGTTCAAACGCGATTTCTTTGCATGATTTCAAATTAATTTTATGCACGCTCGGACGCTTGCATAAATTACAGTACGAAATTCGCAAGCCAATTCCAAAAGGTCCTAGAGTTAGTATCAGCGTTTATTTACAAAATTATTGACATGCATGTAGTGTTTATTTGCAAACAAAATCAATCTTCAACGTGCCCTCCTATGTTGAAGATTGATTTTGTTTGTAAAAAAACACTACATGCATGTCAATAATTTTGTAAATAAACGCTGTTACTATAACTCTGGGAATTGGCTTGCGAATTTCGTACTGTAATTTATGCAAACGTCCGAGCATGCATAAAATTAATTTGAAACATGCAAAGAAATCGGGTGTTGTGACCTCGAAAAGTGCCTAGAAAACGATTTTCATTAACCATGTCTCATATCTGAAATATTTTTGCGGGAACTATCACTTTCCAACACGCTGAGTTCAAATCCGAAAAGTTCCCACTCCGGAGACCCGCAATTTTCTCACAAACTGCTATGTTATCTTCACTAATTTCACAGCAAAATTTTTCATTGTTCAACGACATGGGTCAATGACGATACCATGCTATTACTTATTAATAATTTACATAAAAATGTTCGACCAATTGTAGTTTTAATAACTTACGCGATTATAGCGAACATTCCACTGGCAAAGTGTTCCTGTCTTTGACTTTGTTATGTTACATTATACAACGCTAACAGCTTGAAAATTCCACTCAACTCTGTTATTTTTGTTAGTCTTGTTTAAGGTAAATTCTTTTCCATTTAAAAATAAAGATAAAAGCCAAATTTTCCATGCGAAGGCAACTTTTACATTGTGTAGCGCGGCGCCATGTTCGTTTTGTTTTGAAGCAATCTGTGACCGTTAACGTTACTTCTCTAAACTAAACTGCTCTAAACTGATTGGTTGATTTTATCATCACAATGTTTATCCACCAATCAGATCAGTTTGTTACAGATTTTTGCACTGTTGTTACAGATTTTTGCACTGTTGTTACAGATTTTTGCACCGTTGTTACAGATTTTTGCACTACTGTTTGGGATTTAATGCACTGAAACCAACCAATCAGAGTCGAGTAATATTTCTATGTATATTATTAACTCCGTAATATGATAAGTTGGAAATGTTTTCATTATTTCATAATTTCCAGACAGCGCATATATATATATATATATATATATATATATATATATATATATATATATATATATATATATATATATATATATATATATATACATACGGTTGATGAAGAAGTCAGTCTTCAGTTTTTCTCGTGTGGAGCAACGAAGTGTAACACCGCAATCATTAGATTTAACTGTTTACATTGTTTGAGCATGACATCAAGTTGCCATGCATTAGTCATCATTTTTATCACTACGTTACAACCATAAAAATAATAGACATAGAATGCGTGCACCTATCTTTTCTCAGCGAAAATTTTGTCTCCACAAAATGGCGGATTTATAAGGGCATTTTGGCTAGTCCCAGTCTCCTGCGGCAAGGAATTTCGCGCGGTTGCCGGGAGTGCGAGTTGTTTTTTCACCACAGTTTGCAAAAACATTTATTTGCGAGACTTCAAGTAGAAAAAGAGTTTTTTTAAAGTAGAAAAACCCATTCCAGTGTTTTTTTTACGAAAAGCAATAGTTCTGAATAGAGTATATACAGAAATCGTCGTTTGAAAATTCATTTTCAACGTTGTTGTGCAAGCCAAAACAAAACACGAAAGATTAAGACAAACTCAAACTCAATACTAAGGTATGTTCTAAAATATTTTAGCTGTTTTGTAATATAAATGGAGTTTAGTAATCTTTTAAACTTTCACAACTACTTTTCTATATTTTTTACGTTGCTTGAGCTTGAGGCAACGCTTTTGAAACCATAGTTTTCGACGATTTTTTAGGGGCCGTTTATCGACAAATAAATATTTTTTTTTTTAAAAACGTGAAAACACTGCGTTTAGATTGAAGAAAAACGAAACCCGACGAAGAACAAACTATCATTTTGTACTTGAAGAAAATATTAGCAAAGCAGTTACGTTCAGAGTTTGTTTTATGAATTATGAGTAAATTATATTTTAATACGCGAAACTACTTTGTTTTTACAAGGCTGCACGATTTTCACCGTTTTTGTAACTGCACATTTGCTTTGAGCCTTAAAGAACTTAATATTTCAAATATTTCCCCAAACTACAAATTAGACAGCAAGACAAAACGTTTTGACGATGAAAACTTAGTTTTAGCTTTGCTTTATACTTTCTAGTTTGCACTCCTATGCTCAAATTCAAAATAGCGGATTTATAAGGGCATTCCTGTTTTCAATTTGGACACCGCTCAAGTGACCAAGCACGCATTCTAGGTCTATTATTTCTAAGGTTACAACACTGTACCTTAAATATTAGTAGCATCACTGCAGAAGAATCAATGGCTCCATTTATTACACTGATAGCTGTATAACGTCGTCGAGGAAGAACACCACAAACCTGCGTAGACATATTAATAAGGCGGTTTTCCACTAGGCGAAATTTTTCGACCGAATCAAAATTTCTCGAGCGAGATCGGCCACGTGCAATTTCCACGCCAAAAGCGCGCGAATTTTCAAGCTTGCAGAAGCGAAAAAAAGCATGGCCGCTGTGAACAAGCGATATTTTTTAAAATGTCTAGTGTTATTGTCTTTGAGGTTACACATTAGAACGCGAGCAGATTTACCATGAAAGATGCGAAAAAGGCGAATATCATTTGTTAGAGAGAGAAATGATGCTCTTTGACAAGGCGCTTTTTACTAATCAGTTCAGGATGACACCTTTGATGTTTTAAAAACGCAGAACTTTCTTGAGGTTCCCTAGAATAAAGAACAGTGGAAGAAGATTTCGCAGGATTTTAACAACTACTGGAACTATCCACACGCCCAAGAGGGAAATGATGGGAAGCACATTGTTATTCAAGCAACTCCGAGCAGGGTCCATATAAAAAACTCATAGTATCGTGTTGATAGGAGTATGCGATGCCTACTACAAGTTTATCTTGGTTGATGTTGGTGATTCTGGACGTCAATCTGATGGTAGTGTATACAATAATTGTTACTTGGGCTAAACTGTTGAAAACAACTTGTTAAATCTACCGGATTCAGAGAAAATAACCAGAAACTGTGACATATATTTGCCATATGTATTCCTTGGAGATCATGCCTTTGGCCTCAAAACATTCATGAAACCTTATCCAGGTGCAACTTCGATATTTCACAAAGGATCTTTAACTATAGATTGTCAAGGGGGAGAAGGACAATTGAAAACACTTGGGCGATTTTAGCATCTCGATTTCGTATTTTTCAACGCCCTATTAATTGTCATGTGGATCATGTAATTCAAATAACAAAGGCTGCAATTGCTTTACATAAATTCCTTTTCTCCAGTAGATCCCCACGAGAAATTCATAATTATTGCCCACAATAATTGATTGTGAGACTGCTAATGGTAACGTTTTACCTCAGGAGAGTGGAGACAGGAGCCAAAGGGAAGAAGAATAAGAAGAACCTCTTCTAACAACTATTCTAATGATGCTATCTGTCATTTGGCACATTGATTCAGTAACCCGAACCACCTTGGATGAGGACAAGGAAAGGTGTTAATTAATTATAAACAACGAGTCAACAAGTTAAACAAGTTTAATATGAACATTGTTGTACAGTATGATTCATATAATTTTTTTCAATTATAACAACTAATATTTTGAACATGAACATACACAGATGTTCTATAGCGTTTATATCAAATATTTTAAATACTGGTAAAATATGGTGTCTCAAATCTCAAAAAAATCTGGTATTTTCATCATCTGACTCAAATTCTATCTTATAAAGTATTTCATTAACTTTCATCTTTGCTATATTCTGTTTTTTTAAGAGGGAGTTGTCGGAAGATTGGTGTTAGACTTCTACAGTACTACCAGGGCGAAGGGAGAGAGGGCGTAGAAACGGCCATACATCGAGCGGACCCATCCGTGATGCGGGCTTCGCGGGGGGGGTAAGACGTTCTAATTGTAAACAAATACGGCCACGCGTATATGACACATCAGAAGGTATGCTGAAACTATTGCTTTATAAAATATTACTTGTGTAAAATTTATATGTTTTTGTTACTTTCAGCTACTATAAGAAACTTAAAGATAAGATTTAAGTAACAAAAAACTTTATTTCGGGTGTTATTTTATTTATATACTCTGTTTAATTTGGTGGTTAAAAATGGCCGTCGAAATGTTGTCCGAGAGTGTTAGCGCGCACTGCTTCCTGATAAAAAACCAATGATTTCCAAAACCCAAATTATAATTTGTTATTAAGCTATGATGAAAACCTTTGCGTATACAAAATTATAGAGTGAGCAAACATGAGACAGATAGGTTTTGAACCTTTCAAAGTTCGAGGTCGAATTGACAGTTGAAATAGTACCAAACTCCAAGCTGAAATGTGCAACTAAATCGTGTATATTTTTGTCAATTTTATTCGCTGGCTTTGTTAAATTCACTTGCAATGGCTCGACATAAATTACAACATACAAACTGAGCAGAGCCCATGAAAGAGCTATCCATACCCATACAGTCATTCAGCTTCCTTGCTATTTAGAAATTGTTGCCCATTACTCCATTAGTTGAAGAACAATTGCTATTGTATGCGCTTGTTTGCACTTCCTTTTCTGAAAAAAAGTCTAAATATTGAGGCTAAATAGCAGAGAAATATGACCCAATAATCCATGCAATTAAAAATATATATCAAATTAACTTCAAAAATCATGATTTGAGGAACTATATCTATTCAGGCAATCAACTCATAATTTAGTGACAGATCTTGGGATTGGTGTACTACAAAACTATATTGACTGAAGCTTTGGAAAAATTTAGCCAACTTTTGAAGGATTTTATTAGGTCCAGTTCACATGAGACTGGAACGAAGTCAATTAACCGGGACCATTTCGTTTTGGTCATTATATTATGTATAATAGATGTTTACATGAGGTCTCAAGTCATTCCGCCTGCTGGACCAAGCCGACTGACTCAGACCAGTATGAATTCAGACTGGAATGAATGTTGACATTGGAACAAGTGAACAACACATGCTAACAAAAGTCATCTAAAAAAGAAAATTGCCTGGCAAGGGGAATAAATTGAAAATTTTGTGATTTTCATACTGGTCTCATGTAAACATGTTGACATGCAATTTCAATTTTCATTCCAGGTTGGTTTCATCCTGGTCTCATGTAAATGGGGCCTTACAAACTGTGATTCAGTATCATGGGATGAGATTAGGGGCCTGTTTATATGATCTCGGCCAGGCGGGACGGGATGCTTACCGAGATCCCGCTCGTAATACAAATGCTAAAGAGTGTTTATATGATCCCGCCACTTATCTCGCCTAGACTGGATTTCGGCAACAGATGCCGGGATCCTGCCTAAGCGAGATGAAAAATTCCCATATAAAAACACTTCATCCCGCCTAGCCGGGATGAAAAATTCCCATATAAACACTTCATCCCGGTTAGGCGGAATGAATTTTTCCCTTTTGGGCATGCGTAAATGCCTTTATTGCAACAAAAACATGACGTCAAGCACCGAATGGTTTCATCCCGGCAATGTATTTTGTCCATATAAACACTAGGCGAGTATCCTGTCTTGGCGGGATGAAAACGTCCCGTCCCATCTAGGCGGGATCATATAAACAGGCCCTAAGGACTTGAAAGATTTTATAAGCGAGCAATGCTTAAAAGCAAGATATATATAAACAATGAAAGAAATGGCACTAACAGAGCCACAACTTCTCCAGAAGTGTAAAATTCCATGATACTGAATCACAGTTTGCAAGTCAATCCTTCAAAATTTAGTTAAATGTTTCCAAAACGTCAGTCAATATAGTTTTGTAGTCACCTTACCAAGACCTGTCACTAAATTATGGGTTGCCTGAATAGATATAATTCCTCAAATCATGATTTTTGAAGTTAATTTGATAGATATTTTTAATTGCATGGATTATTGGGTCATATTTTTCTGCTATTTAGCCTTAATATTGTAGACTTTTTTTAGGAAAGGAAGTGCAAACAAGCGCATACAATAGCAATTCTTCTTCAACTATAAATGGGCAACAATTTCTAAATAGCAAGGAAGCTGAATGACTGTATGGGTATGGATAGCTCTTTCATGGGCTCTGCTCAGTTTGTACTTGTGTCGAGCCATTGCAAGTGAATTTAACAAAGCCAGCGAACAAAATTGACAAAAATATACACGATTTAGTTGCACGTTTCAGCTTGGAGTTTGGTACTATTTCAACTGTCAATTCGACCTCGAACTTTGAAGGGTTCAAAACCTATCTGTCTCATGTTTGCTCACTCTATAATTTTGTATACGCAAAGGTTTTCATCATAACTTAATAACAAATTATAATTTAGGTTTTGGAAATCATTGTTTTTTTATCAGGAAGCAGTGCGCGCTAACACTCTCGGACAACATTTCGACGGCCATTTTTAACCACCAAATTAAACAGAGTATATAAATAAAATAACACCCGAAATAAAGTTTATTGTTACTTAAATCTTATCTTTAAGTTTCTTATAATAGCTGAAAGTAACAAAAATATTTTATAAAGCAATAGTTTCAGCATACCTTCTGATGGGTCATGTACGCGTAGCCATATTTGTTTACAATTAGAACGTCTTACCCCCCGCGAAGCCCGCATCACGGATGGGTCCGCTCGATGTATGGCCGTTTCTACGCCCTCTCTCCCTTCGCCCTGATTCTAACCTATTAGTACCTACAATCGCGCGCAAAAATTCTGGAGACAAGCAGTTTATTGGCCCTCTCCCTGCTGTAACAATGCTTCTTGCCCCCCCCCCTTTTGCAATGTTGTTAAAACGATTTTGAGGTCAGGGCTTATCAAATAATATGTTTTCAACATTGTTAATGGGGGGAGGGGGGCACGCACGTGAAAAAGATCACCAAAATGTGAAGAGTCTCATTATTTTTGCACGCGATTGTCTATGTAGTTTCGAGTAATGATAATTTTAATACGGTTATTTCGCTTTGCCGTAAATAAGAAGCATAACAGCCTTTGCTTGCTGTGACTATGTGTTTCATGTGTGCCTAATGATTTTACCTACAGTGTGTAAAATTGTGACGTCACAATGACGTCATCGTGACGTCATAAATGACCGTAAATAGTTCATAAATTTAACGCGTCCCGCTTGAGTATCAAAACAGTTAGGACAAGATGCCATTGACAAGCAGATCACGTCAGAAAAGTTTGAACAATTTTCCGAATGAGTTAAAAGCACGACGATGAATTTGTCAAAAAGTTTTATGAACTGAATTATTATATCGATGAACAAACGTGTTGCAATGATCAGTGAGAAACGAGGAGAACGATTAAAGTATTAAATTTATTAAGTGCATGTTTCTATATTACAATGTTTTTCCCTATTTATACCGTTTATATTGGCAGTGCCTTTTGACTTCA